GCACCACAGTACACGATACATATGACATGCAATATGCAAAATATATGACTTCTCATATGAACTCAATGAGAGACGAAGGAAGAAATCATACAAGAGATAAGAAGAAAAGTAGAAAGGAATAATGAAGAAAAGAAAGAACTGAGAGAAGAGAAAAAGAAAGTTTTGATAAGCTGTGGTTTTTAAAGCTTGTAATCAGTGTTGAATCATGCTATTATTATTCTAGATAATTATTTCTAAAAGTCATGCTATTATTATTCTAGATAATTATTTCTAAAAGAACTGTTATATGCGCTTACTTTTACATGTTGATATATTTTTCCTTGAAGAATATTGTGGTTTTATTTACAACAAAAGGATACTGTATAAGTTTAAGCATGGTAATAGATAAAATCAAAATATACTTGTGTTGTTATAAAATAAACGTAAACTATGGAATTTGGTAAGAAGTGATAATTTTACTTTCATTTCTAAATATTAGTAGCACGCTTTGTTTAACTATATATGTGAAACTAAAACTTTTACCTAATTATTTTAATAATGAAAAATGTGATTTAGAATATACTATTATTAATTAAAATCAAATCAGTCCCATTCCGCACGTATAAAGTTGCTATAACTTTATACTAAATAAAGTGTTTTTTTTTTCTGGAAGGACTAAATAAAGTTTATCAATTTATTAAATTGTACAACCACAAAAAAAAAACGTAAGTCGACGAACAATGATACTCCGTATAAAATTCGAAATAATATATATAATAATTGGTTTTTCAAAATTTACAAAACACATGAAAATTCCAAACTTAAATTTATATAAAGTTAATTTCGAAATTAATATATATACTATTTGAAAATTAGTTATGAAATAAGCTAATGTTAAGTCTTCATATTGTTTTTAAAGAAGCAGAAAAGACTTCGTCATTGCTAATATTATAATAAGCTAAAATCGAAACAAGTATGTATGGTAAGATAATATTGGAAATTAATACGGGGTAATATATAGTAATAAGGAAACGTACAAATTAACTCATTAATCGAAGGGTTATGGAGAAATAACAAACCAAATGCACGAGGCTATATATAAATAAAGCAGAGTAAAGAAAGTATATGAGACCACAAATTAAGTTTTGAAAAAAAATAAATTAAATTTCGAGGACGAAATTTCTTTTTAGAGGGGAAGAAATGTAACATCCTCAAAATTTTATACTTTAATGGGTGTTTTAATAGTTTAAAACTCTACTAAAAATAAATTATGATTAAAAAAAAGAAGAATTGAAGCAAAATAAGTCATCCTTAAATAAATAAACTAGATATGACCGAATAGCAAATGTTATGAAATGTGATAATTTATTTAACTAAATAATATTCCTACGGGCATAGATTGAAGAAATGCAAAAAAGTAAAGTAACATAGTAGTAGGCAAAAGAGGTACGGTACACGTATGAACTTTTATATATAACATTATAAATATATTATTTATAATATAAGGTTGTGTAAATATAAATGTAAACCATAAATAATTAAATTAGCGGACACATGTAATTGTATGCATGCTCCTTGGACACTAGGCACCTAATTGATAAAACAAACAAAATTGGAAGGACACTACTCATGATTGATGAGATTTAGGTATAGCATGCTAAACACTCGTCCAGCTAATACCAAAATAAGAACAAAAAGGCATGCAATACAATACATATAAAATAACTTGAATAGAGTAAGGGTGAGTGGGGGACAATGGTGGACTGAACATATTTGGAGTCTCGAGATCGAAGCCACTAATTAATGAGATGTAGCATTGAGAGGGGAGGCGGCCGTGAGCTAGGAAGAAAGGAGAGAAAGGAAGGAAAATAGGGAAACAATTAAGCAAACTAGGGAGAAAATCTAGCCAAAAATTTAAGGTCTGTGTTCATTCCTTCTCCTAAATTTTAATATTATCATAATTATACCATACATGTTCTAAAAGTTCAATTCATTGTTCTATTTAATTGATTTGTATCTTCTTAATTGGTTTTATTGTTTACTCCATTATGCTCTATTTAGATAATTATATACTATAGCCTTGAATCGAAGAAGCTGTTATATTTTTAGAACTGTTAATTTTGTATATTTAGAAGTAAACTAAACTCTGTAACCAGAAATATAATGTTTTGATTAGGTTCCTACGTAATAGTACGAAACATTTAAGTTAATTAACTTTATGAAGATAATCTCATGTTTTACGTTCTTATTTATCAAGTTTAAATTAGACAATTTATAATGATAAAGAATAGCTAATATGCATATATAAACAGTAAACGAATGATTTTATTAACATTACAAAATGATTTTCAATCAATCATATACCTAGTAGAAATATTAAGTTAAATTATATGCATATGTGATATGTGTACCGATGATCAAATTAAATTAAATAATCCGTATAATTATGTAAATCGGACCTTATGACTTGTGTACATACGAACTTGAATACTTATAGTGTTACATCAGAAATTTATTTATGTAAAACTTATTCAACTCAGATATATTACTTATATTTGAATAAATATAAGTAATATTAATTTTAGATTATTATAATGATGTTATTTTAAATGAGAGCTGATAATCATAAATTCATAATAGTTTCGCATTCAAAATAAAAAAAAAACAAATGGAATTCGAAATCTTGTTTCTGGATTCGGATAGGTTGGCATGCCAATAGGGATAAAAACACGGCCGTAGAATTTGATCAATGATTTCGGGTCCGTAGCCACCGAGTGGACAGCACCCAAATCTTGATATTTGACACACGCGCGCTCCTATACGGGTCCGTAGCCACCGAGTGGACAGTACCCAAAATGTTCGTTTACGGGTCCGTAGCCACCGAGTGGACAGTACCCAAACGAACCTCGGCCAGAGCCACCAAGTGGTCAGTGCCAAAATAGTTCTCTGATGGTCCGTAGCCACCGAGTGGACAGTACCAAAGATGAGAACACCCCGTTTATCCAGTCCATTAAACTAAGGAGTAGAATTCCAGAAATGTGATAAAAAGATAACAGTGTGAAAACAGACAATATGACGGGGAATGAAACTGGGCAAAAGATGAGAATTGAGCAAATGAAAATTTAAGAGCGAATGCCGAATGAAAATGAGATGTAACTGTGAAAATGGAGGCAGAAAGAATGAAAGGGAAAATGCACAAATAGAATTATGAAAATGAAAGAATTTGAACATAAAGATAAGAAAAACGATAGGAGAATGTAAAACTTATATTCAAATGATTAGATTTTGCTCGTGAATTAATTATTCTGAAATAGGCTAATGTTGAATAATACGAGAGACAAGGGGATAAATTAATATTGAGTAATAAGTTACGATTTTACGTTAATATCCTGATAAGAAAAGTATACTTTGAATATTGATTTATATGCTATATAGAAAATTACGACATATTAACAACTCAGATACATTACAATAACTACTTTGAATAAAATGCAATATTATGAAGTAGTTACCACCGATTATTCCGTATGAACGAAATGGTATTATATGTTTTCAAATGTTTAATTTGAATTGATCTATTTGATGCTCCGTATTATTCTTGATATTAAAAGTTTAATACAGGAATGTTGTAAGGGGGTTGTACCGTATTACATATTCAATACGGTTTAATAGCTATCAAGGATTTCATATTATATCTGGTTTATAAGCTAGTCATAATTGAATTAGTTGTGCTTATAAATAACTATTGAGATTTCAAGGAGTTGATTTTTTTGTATATTATTATTAAATGAATTGGAAAAGCTACTTGAAATGAAATGTATTCTTTTGATATTTAAAATTAAGTCAAAGGGTAAAATCGTTCTTGATAAATTTCTATTTTCAACACCGTATCAATTATATTTGTGAATGTCATTCTTAATTGTTGAGTTATTTTGTTAAATTTGATATCGATATTGTATGGAGAAAGAATGAGCACCACTAAGCAAGTTTTGCTTAGCGCGTTGGATTTTTTTGTCCTTCGCGTAGGTACGTAGTCGACGAGGAAAAGTTCAAGGAGAAAAGCATTTGGGAGCAACCTGCCAATCAGCACAGAGTCACACTTGCATTTAGTGATAATTTAATTTTAGTCTGCATCATTCATGTGTAGTAAGCATGTTAGTAGAATGTAATAGCAACACTTAACTCTTTAAGTGTTATATATAAAATATGGATGCTTCCGCAATTATGAATATTTATAAAATTACTATTTCGTAAAGTTACAATCATCAGCTCTTTTTAAAATAAAAGTATTTTTTGGAATAGTAAAAAGAAATTGAAAAGTTAGTCTGCGCTTTGGTGTTTCGGCACTGCGGGTAGCGCTCCTTGCCCGAGCCTTCCGGGCCGGGTAGGGGGTGTTACATCATATGTTAAATACAAAGTAATCTCATTCAATGCGCTTTGTTCTTAGCGCATTGAAAAAAAATATCATAACATTACAAATTTTTTCGCAAGTGTCGATCTCAGCCGAGTTTATAATATAGTTATCATGTTGTTTTAAAAAAGCACGAAAATGTTCTTTATATCTAAGAACAACTTTAAGTAATTTATAAGTACTATTCCAACGAATACTCAAATCTTTAGGAAAAGCAACATATCTCACACCTCTTTCGGTCAAATAAGTTTGTCATTTTAATCTAAGTTGACCATTACCCCAAATACGTCTAATCCCCCCCTTCACTACCTCCATAGCATCTCCTAACGCTTTTAGACCGTCTTGCACACATAAATTTATAACATGGCATGCACACCGTTGATGAAAAAATCTACCCATCAAAGTATTGGCACCACACAATTCACGCAATCTAGGTATAGCAGCAGTATTATTAGTAGCATTGTCGAAACCAATAGCAAACACCTTATCAATCAAATTATACTCAATTAAAATACGCTCAATCAAAATATAAATATGTTCAGCGGTGTGACGATCATTAAATTCACGAAAAGCAAGAACACGTTTATGCATATTTCAATCCTCATCAATATAATGTGCAGTCAGAGCCAAATAATATAAATGATGAAAATCATCCTCCCATATGTCAGAACAAATAGTAACACGCCCATCAAAGTTTGCAAAAAAAATTTGTAACCTTGCCTTTTCCGCATTATAAAGCCTTATAATTTCTTTCTTAACAGTTTTGCGACTATAATTTCTAAATTGAGGATTTAAACTACCTTATGCATAATCTCTTAAAGCAAGGCTTTCAGAAAACAAATAAGGCAAATTTTCTTCACAAATTAAGTTAGCCATACCAGTCAAATTTTGTGCATCATTGTAGGAGAAATTGCCAAAAGGTTGAGAATTCGCAAACCTCGATATTTGAGTTTGCTTCCCTGTTCCGCCGCCTAATTTTGCATACTCCACGGGGTGCTTTGCCTTAAGATGCCTTGCGGCGGATCCGTATCCGCCGGAGGTCCCCAAACTATAATTGTTGTTGCACCACTTGCAAGTTGCATGCCAATAGCCGGTTTGTGGGTCCTTCCATTTATCAAAATTATTTTGCATTAGTTCAGATTTACTTTTTTTATTACCGGTGGCGGTTTGGGATGAGGCAGGTTGGTCGGTGTCGTGGCTGCCGGCACCCTCCTCCTCGGCCATCTCCGGTTCCATTTCCTCCGCATCTTCATCCTCAAGCTCCTCTTTGTCAATGGTCGTCGGGATTTGTTGTTGTTGTAGAAAGCGGTTATTATGTCGGGCCAATTCTTGTTGTAGTTGTTCTTCGGACATCGCATCTCCATCTCGCCTTTGGTAACCCGTTTCAAAATCATCTCGTCTTTGAGATGAAGAGCCAGCAAGTTCTTTACCTTTGCGGGATTTCTTCCTCCCAATCTCGTTCCTTCGATTGCGTTGGAGGTTACCCAAATCAACCGAATATCTACCACCTTCCATCTTAAAAATGTAACAAATATTAATTGGCAACAAATATAATAATGAATACAAAACTAATGCAACTAATTAAAACTATTTTAATTAATACTTCAAACTAATTTAGTGCAAAGTAGAATTAATGTGTGACTCTAAAATTAAAATTATAGCAACTTTTCAAGTACTTTAATTTAGTAAAAACTACTTAAATTAAATGATTGAACTACTATTTTTTCGTTCAAATATAAATTGAAAATATTATAATGTGACTTTAACTATAATGACAATTAACTAGTTTTTTGAAGTAGAGTTGTTTTAACAATTAATGGGAATACTTATGAACTAATTAACTAGTATAATGAAAAATGTAACAAAAATGCTAATGAACTAATTAACTAGTTTAATGAAAAAATGTAAAAAGAATACTAATGAATTAATTAACTAGTATAATGAAAAATGTAACAAAAATGCTAATGAACTAATTAACTAGTTTAATGAAAAATGTAAAAAGAATACTAATGAACTAATTAACTAGTATAATGAAAAATGTAACAAAAATGCTAATGAACTAATTAACTAGTTTAATGAAAAATGTAAAAAGAATACTAATGAACTAATTAACTAGTATAATGAAAAATGTAACAAAAATGCTAATGAACTAATTAACTAGTTTAATGAAAAATGTAAAAAGAATACTAATGAACTAATTAACTAGTATAATGAAAAATGTAACAAGAATACTAATTAACTAATTAACTAGTATAATGAAAAATGTAACAAGAATACTAATTACCTAATTAACTATTATAATACTAGTTATAGTAACTAATATATAATATAATGTTTATAGTATATAATATATAAGTATACTACTATAAGATGAGTAATACACTTATATTTTATACTTTAATATATAAACTATATATTAAGTAGATGCAGAATGTATGTATTAAGTGGTTATAATAATTGTATAAGAATTAAATATTAGAGTGAAATGTATTTCTGAACTGGAAAAAATGAAGAGAGAGAATCTCCTCCACCTCTCTAGGTATCCAACGGCAACTTGAATCCGATATGGAATTCCGGCAACCACCTCACCGCCGGAATCACCACCACCTTCTCTATTTCAAGCGCCACGACGCCCATGGGAACTCCCCTCACCACAACGAAGGGCACAGGAATCGGAGATACCAACGACAGTGGAATAGGCATTCTCAAGCTAGATCCTCTACTAGCCACTTCACGAGGAAACCTTCTTCCAGACAGGGACAGAGAGCAGGTATAGGAGTTCATAGCAGGAACGGACATCCTGCTCATCACATGAGGTATTACGCACAAAACCTTTTCAGTCCCTCAGCCCTACACCTGATTGACGGGAAGTCAAGACACGCTCAAATTACAGGGCCACACTTACTTGGACGAAGATGCAATGTTCAGCGTCGTCAACACCATCAACCCCAAACGGGGGAATCAGACGATGGCTGGCGCACCGTCTCCTACAGGGGACGCCGCCATCACTTCCACCCCAAACGCCGATTCCCGTCGCTCCCAAACACCAACTCGGAAATCAATTGGGCAGCGGAGAAGGATAATCGCTACCACCTATTAAGACTCGGAAACGAAATCCCTACCCATCCCACCGAATTCGATTTTGAATCAGATACAGCGCCCCCGGTTAATGAAACTCACAGAACTAGAGAAAACAACAGAGGAATTGTGAGGAAAGTCAGGCGAGACGGTCCAAATCGCCGACAAAGGAAACCATCAAAATGTTGTGGTCCCAATCGCAGGCCGGCGACCGCCACGCCGGTGGCTCCAACCATCTCATCACCGGGTCCCTCGCCTGACAAAGCCATCGCCACACTGCTGGCTCCATCCGTCAACTGTCTGGATGTCGACGAGACACACTCAGCGGGTAACGCCCAATTCACATGGGCTGAAATTGTTAGAAACGATACGGACAAACAACACAGCAAGGCAGTCTCAATATTACCCCAAGCTCATTTTTCAAAAGAAAAATCAATTATCCCATACCACATGCAAATGGACTCGGCTGAAATAATCCAGGCAATGCCAGACGCAAAGGACACAGAAAAATTTTACTTCTTTGGAGAGCAGGGATTTGACTCTATCAAACTTGAATCTGCGGTCTTCTGATTTTGCTATCCGAAACAAAGAAATTGTTATCTTTGAAATTAAAAAATCCTATTTACACAGGATAAATTTCAAAACAGAGCTTGCACCCCAGATCTACCGTTTTATCCACAATCTCATAAGGTCAAAAAATTTTAATCACGGGCGAAGCAGAAAATTCGGTCCTATCACGATCTCTTCAGTGCTCAACAAATCGAGGTGTTATCTGAAGATTGCTAAGGAAAAGGGTAGTTACATTCTAGTGCCCAACAGTCCACAGAATTCCAACCTCAATGATTTTATGACACTATTTTCCAATTTCGTTGGATTATCTTATTTAGAGCAGGAGGAACCGATGCATTGGGAGAATGAGACCTCGTCAGACACTGGGAAAATCACCATTTCGAAACTCATATTTAACTTTGAAGTTCAGAGAGCCTAGTGTGAGAAGCAACAACCACAAATTCCACTTATTCAGGCGTATTCTGATGCCTCAGACAGCTTTGACCATTCTGATGAGTCTTTCTTTTCAGACGATTTTCTAGGACATGCATCCGAAAACGATCGGCGCCCACCTATATCAAAAGAGGAAGAAATTGGGAAATCCAAATTCAACAGAAGGATTTGTCGTAAATCAAAGTTCGTCACCCCAGAAAATTGTCTGCCAACAGAGAATCTCAACACACAACTCAAACTTTACAGGAAATCTCAACAAAACAAAAGGCGACATAGCATGAGGACTAGATCACAGTCCAGAGATTTTCCTTGGGTCTAGTTTTTTGTTACTCTATATTTTCTGCTCTGTACTCTTTTATTTAGCTTCTTGCATTGTAATTTTTTTTGTTATGAATAAAATCTTATTTTTCCCAAAAAAAAAAAGAATTAAATATTAGAGTATAATGGAGAATTGGAGATTGGAGAATAAGAAAATAAGTATATATGAAATATAAGTAGAGAAGTAGATATTATTATGTATTAAGTATATAGTAATAGTTTATAAAGTATATTTAATACTTTAATATATAAAGTATATATTAAGTAGATGTAGTATGTATGTATGTATTAAGAGATATAAGTAGAGATTAAGTAGATAAGAAATATAAGTAATATAGTATATGTATTTATAAGTAGATAATTAATATATAAGTAGATATAATAATTGTATAAGTATTAAATAGTAAAATAAAATATAATGGAGAATAAGAGAATTTGAGAAGATGAATATGGAGATGAGTAGAGAGTAGCGAGTAGGATTTAGGAAGAGTTGGAGAAGAGGTGTGAAAAAATGTTTAAAATTAGGAGTATTTATAGTTTTTTTTAACCCCCACCCCCCCACCCCCCAAAGACCCCGGACCCCCCTGGTACCCACCCAACGGCTATATAGCCGTTTGGGAAGTGGGTCAAGTGGTCAAAGTGCTTTTTTAATTTAAAAGGAAATTGTTTAAAAAAAATGGACCATTAGGCCCGGGCCAGGGCCGGGCCGCCAAAAACAACACCCGAGCCCGGACCCGCCACCCCCCACCGGTTCGGTGCCCGAACCGGACCCGGACCCGAGAACCGGGCCGGTTCCGGGCCCGCACAGTCACGGTCCGGGCCGGTCTCGGACCGGGCGGCCCGAACCGGGTCCACCACTAGTCCTTGTGGAGACGATACTCGTACTTACACCACTATTCATTGTACTACTTATTTTAAGTGCGAGAAAACTCACATCAGTTTTTGGCACCGTTGCCGGGAACAGTGTCGGTCCTAAGGGTTAATTAATTTCAGCAGCTTGTTTTTAGTTTTCCGTAGGATTTTTCTGTGCTAACCTTTCAGACATTTTTAAAAGAGGAATGAGATGGACTAATTCAGCTCAATTCCTGGAGGAACACCATTCCCTCAAACCTCCACGGAACATTCACCATATATGCCCTATCCTCCTTACATTCCCCGTCAGTATTACACTCCTCATCAATATTACTCTCCCATAGAACAAAATATCGGGTCTTCTTATTCTTACCCTCCTCCAAATACGCAATACTCCCAATCTCATTCTCCTCATCATTATCCTTACTCACAATATCCTAGGGCAAGACCGGGCTCCATTCTTGAATTTCTTGTTCAAACTAAAACTTCTGATGAATTGTCTCATTACTTTCCGAAGAATAGCATTTGTTCCTACTGTGAAGGTTGTCACCATTCATGTCTTTGCCCCATTAGACCTTCGTATGATCATCCTTACAGGGCAACTGCATACCCCATTTCATCCCCTCCACACTTTATGAGCACAAATGTTCCAGTCATCCCTACATCCTTCCGGAGTAATGAGCCACATAATCAATTGAAGGAGGCGGAACATATGATGCTTGAATGGTAGCAAACCCACATTAGCCTGGAAGACACACTCAAGAAGTTTATCCAAACGATTGCAGCATGTGTTCAGACCATACAGAATCAAGTGAGTCAGCTTGCAAACGCCCAATCTGATGAGTCTGACAGATCCCGTCCTAGCGACACTGAAACCAATCTGAGTGAACCAGTCGAGATTGACACGCATACAGATGGGAAGCACCTTGAAGGAGCTGATCACAATAAATAAGTGTCTCTCTCCGTGAAAGGAGAATCATCATGTACATACTCTCATGTTCATTTGTGCATTGTCCTAGATCTGGATTTGTTTGATTCAGCGCTAAAGTATGATACTCCTTTTATAAATAATGACAACATTATCCAAGAAGACATTGATAAGAACAATGTTCATGATAGTTGGGATGCTCACATGGAGAGTGATACAGAGTCCATAGGAGGAGTTTTGAATTTTCATGATATTTATGAGGAAGAAAAAGACTTTTCTATGGTGCAGTTCGAGTACGGTGTTGCTCCAGATCTTTGCTTTGAAACAACTTTTGAGCTTCTAGTGATGCCTAGAGTAATAAAGTTTTGACTCATGTTTTCTGTCTGATGGTCCCGAATAGAGGTAAAAGTCTAGAGGGGGGGGTGAATAGACTTTTAAAGATTTTTCAATTTAAAAACTTTTCCCTTCTAGATGAGTTGATCTAAAATCTTTTGGGAGATTTATAGATGCACAGCGGAAGTCTTTAACCTCTTGATGATTAATGTGTGACAGCTTTCTAGTTTGAATGATGTTTGGACTTTAATCAGTGAGCAGTTGGCTTGACAGTTGCCAGGATGGTAGAGAACTGTTGAGGCAACTGGTAGCGGAAAATAGGAGATTGTGAGAGATGATTATATAGCCTTGTACAGAATGATGAGGAAATACTGAATATGTAGCTAGAGATGATAAGGGGTTTTGCCGGAGCACAGGTCTGAGCAGTTGGGTAAACCCAGGAACCTGCTAAGCCACCTGCTGTGTAAGAAAGAAGTATTTCTGAGAACTGGCAAACCAGACCTTTTAGTAATGGTATTCCTAAGCTCGTGTGAAACAGTTGTCTCAAGGAAAAGTGAGTTATTAAGCAGTAGGATAAGCAGTAGAGTCAATTAAGACAACTGCTTAGGATGCTGCTGGCAAACTACAATCCCTTTTGTGAGAAGTGTTGGGTGTGTGCTCTGTTGAGTAAAAGAAAATCAACACACGGTGTATCCTGGTTCAGAGGTGGTGTAATCCTCCTACATTCAGTCCCATCCTCTTTCAGATGGATTTCCACTAAAGTATTAAGCCCAATACACTAAGTGCTAATCTAGCCTTTACAACACTTAGGCCTAGATTGAAGGTTTTTCACAATGAGTATAACACCACTCAAAGTTACTCAATCCTTAGACTTTTCTCAATTGATCCAGTGGGGATCAAAAGGTACTCTATCTATCTATCCACACTTTAGGACTTGATAACACAATCCTTCTAAGTGTTTACAACAAAGTTTTGTGATTTGTTACAAGAAAGTTCTAACCTCCAACTATGAACTAAACTCCTAGGATTTATCAATGAAGACTTGAGACTTTGAAGTTTAGTGAAGCATGAGTCCAAGCAGAGAGTAAAGTTAAGTTTGCACTTTCTCTTTTGCTAGATAGCTCGTATAAGCAAGGGGAGTTTTTCTCTACTTAGGATGCTCAAAGCTTGGTTAGAAACTTTCGTTTCAACCTATATTTATAGGCTTCTCCTTTGGATTAATCTCATCTGTTGGTTAGGATGATTTAATCTCTGTCGTTGAAAATCTGGCAAGGACAAGTTGTACATTTGTCTTCTTGTGCTGGAGCTTTTAATGAGATGGTTTCCTTATCTTGAATGATTGAGCCGCGGCATAGGTATGCCTATGTGTGCGTCCAGGTAGTAGGTCCATGTACTTGATTTAGCATTTAATGCATGTCTAGTTTTGTCTTCCAATCATACACATTCAATGTATATGATATTCGAGCATCTTTAAAATGTGACATTTAATTAATCTTTGAGCAAAATGATATATGCCGGTAGGATCTAAATATCCTATTAAGGTAAATAAAAATTACCTTATTGCATTTTTACTTTTCCGGTAATATTTCATTAGTCTCAAAAAAAATTGTACATTTATTTTGTCACTTATGATTAAATTGAAGACTAATGTTTGAACTTAATTAAGACACAATGTACTGGTGTGGAGTATAGTGGCATCATCAAAATCTATCAAAATTGGGTACTAACACTGTCCACATCACTCAAAGAGGATGTGAGGTTCATCCTTCACTTCTGTGCTCATGAGGTTTTTGAAGACCATGTGCTCCCTATGTGGACTCGAGAATTTAGAGGTGTGCGCCACTTAATGGCATTTGTGGAGCAAAAGTTTGAATCTTCGGAAATTAGTGCACCATTACAGTCTCTGCTTTTTGAGCGCCTATGAGGTATCATCGGGCGAACAACATTAAAAATAGCGCTTCTTAGGAGGCAACCCAAGCTTTTTTCTGCACTTTTGTTTAAGTTTGATTGCTTTCAGAACCCCCCCAAGGGGGGGGGGGGGGGTTCGTGTAGTTTTTTGTGTTTGTGTGATTTGTTTTGCAGCTCAAAGTGTTCTTTTGGGATGTTTCGCTGCGGTTTGCATTGACTCAGTTTCATTCTGCACCGAACAACACTCCTAGGGAAGTTTCCACGGCCTTTCTACTCGCTTGTTTTAAATGTTGACTTGAGTTAAGTTGAGCACACGTGACCCTTTACTCTTTATCCCCTTGTGCATAGTGCATTTTTGGTCATCGAGGGCGATGCCAAAATTTAAATGTGGGGGAGTGAATTGGGCTTTCGGGCAGTAGTTGATATGTGAGATTACTAGTGTTAGCATGCACATGTGTTAGTTGTATATTCATAGAAAAGTAACAAGTTTTCAACACGCGCGTTGCGCGATTGAATAAAGTGCCCAATGTACTTTTTATTTAAAAATATGTATATAAAAAAATTAAAAATATGTATATTTGCATGTTGATTTGATATGATGATTACTTTTAGTATTTGATCGACATGTTAACATTTCAATCAACTTAAAAATAGACAATTTAATATTCCTTCGTATGAAAGAGGATCCATTTTTTTTACCCAAGGGGCCGAGGGGGTGGGGGGGCTAGGGTAAACTAGGATCATTCTCACTTCATTGATAATTCAAACAACTTCATAAATTTCTTGGATGTAGGACCGATCAAGCTTCAAGAAGATGAATAAATTATTAATGATGATAATGATCATATTAATAATACGATGATAGTAGTAGTAGTAGTAGTAGTGGTAGTGGTAATGGTAGTGGTAGTGGTAGTGGTAGTGGTAGTGGTAGTGGTAGTGGTAGTGGTAGTGGTAGTGGTGGTGGTAGTGGTAGTGGTAGTGGTAGTGGTAGTGGTAGTGGTAGTGGTGGTGGTGGTGGTGGTGGTGGTGGTGGTGGTGGTGGTGGTGGTGGTGGTGGTGGTGGTGGTGGTGGTGGTGGT